TGGTAAAACAAGAGTACTATCAAGCAAAGAAATAGTAGATAAACTCTGGAGCTTTATCAAGTACTATAAGGTCTTAGACCTAAATAGTTACTTTGTTTAATATAATATTCTATATAGTGTAACTCTTACAACTCCTTTTCAAGTTGGCTTTTCTTTCCACTCTCACTACTGGATTTTTTTTCAGAATTTTTATCAAAAAGTGGGAAATCTGGCATACCTTCTTCAAAGGATCGATATTGTTTATCTTTCCAAATCGGTAACATTAGTTACAAGAAAACCATAAAATGAGTATCGGACCTATGATGAATGATATATGTCAAACTCAAGAGGAAAATAAAAACTTTGACTATTCTCCCCATGTGATAAATGAAATATATTATAATATAGAGATAAAGCAAATGTGGGGTATTTTTTTATTTAGTATTATACAGAATTTTTAAAGCCTGGTACAGGCAAAAATAGTGCCTTCATGTTTTTTTGTTTTTTCTTTATTCTTCTTTTTTATCTTTTTCTTTTTTCTTTTGGTTTACATTTAGGTTTTGTAGTTAGTCTCCTCTTTTTTTTTTATTTTTTTTTAGTTTTTCTTTTTTATATTCTGTTGTTCTTTAGGCAAGGATTATAGAATCCTCTTGCTTGATAATTAAAGGAGAGGAAAAAATGAATTGAAGATGAAGCTAGGAAGACAATTTTGGAGCTTGTCATAAAAAGAGGAAGATCCTTTTATTATAGACTTTAAGTAGTCAGATGAGCAGTTTACTTTTGCTTAAAGTAATGCAACAGGTTGCACTTAGGTGCCATTAGGGTGACTGGGTGATGCTAAACTTAGTTGTTAGGTAGATCTATGTAATTGTAGTAATTGCAAAAATCTTAATAAAGTACTAGTGTGACTTTCTATATTAAAAATATATATATATATATATATATATATTTTAGTTACTATATAAAATTTTTTGCAACTAATTATATATAGAAATAATCTATGTTGTACTTTATTCTTAAATATATTAATCTGTAACTAATCAATGAGTTAATTAATTAGTTGTTGATTAGTTGTATATATTTCTATCACTTAATTTTTGGTTTATAGGTTTTAATGTTTTTGATTGAATCAAATTTGAAAAATGTGAGCTAAAATATAAAAATTAATTATATTTATTATGCAAAAAGATATAAAATTATGACATTTAGTTATAATCGATCTAAAAATATAAAAATTTATTATTATATATATGGTGGTAATTTTATAGTTTGCTCTATTTAAATTTTTGATTTATATTTGCACATTTTGCAAATTTATATTCTTATCATTCTTAACTCAGATATGAGATATAGATAATAAACTATATACTGTATATTACTAGAATAGTAACTTCAACAAAGAAGTAATAGCAAATTCTTTATTACAGTAACTTATAATAAAAATTATGATAATTTAAATGCAAACTAATTTACTATGTAGCAAGTAAATTTTTAACAAAATTTTTTATAGCAGTTTATAATGGTAATTGTAATACAAACTAACTCAACTTTAACTACAAACTATTGCCACTAGAATAACAAGTAATTTTTACTTAAACACATAATAGAAGTCACAATAATTCGATACAAGCTAACTTGATCTATCATGCTAATTAGAATAGTGAATTCTTTAACTGAAAAAATATTTTATATCAATTCTTTATAGAAATTACAATAATTCTAATACAAAATTAATTTACTATATTTTTGACTATCAGAATGGTAAATGAGTTTTGTAACAGAATTTCTTGTAGCAACTATAAGAGGAATTACAATAATTCTAATATAAACTTAATTTTAACTATGAACTATTATCACTAGAATATCAAGTAATTAGCTTATGTTAGATTAGAAGTATTTTTTAAAGTAATAACTGATTTTAAAAAAAAATTTATAACAAAGGCATGGATAAAGAGCTAGTTTATTAATAAAAAGATCTATCAATTAGCTTTAAGAATAATTTTTTTAAAATAATTATTATACAATAAAACCTCTAAATGTATATACTTGGGATTAAGCTTTAACAAAATATACTTAGAAAACAATAAGAGAAAATGCATTTATAGGAGCTATATATATACTTGGGCCAGAACTTGAATGTATATTTAGAGAGTATATGCACTTATAGAGAATATACTTATGAAAATTTAAGTCATCAAGTTTGAATAAATTCACAAATAATACTATACTTACTAACTAATAATTAGTATAAAATCATAAAATTAAATCAGTTGCATAAAGTATCAAATTACTTATATGAGAAATGATATTTAAATAAATTTAATACATTAATCTTATACAGAATATGTTAAGCTGCTTAGTTATTCATATTATTCAAACTTTAAACTCAATATATTGCATCAAAGTTTAACTAAGATTAGTAGTATATATTGTATATATATACAAAAAGTTATAACAAATGTATATAAAAAAAATTTGGTTATCTGTGATGTCCTAAACATGAGTATATGCATCTATTAGATCTGCATTAGATGTTTTGAAAAGAGTTTTAAATATGAATAGAGAGGCAGTATTAAAAAGGTAAATTCTTAATTAACTTTAATTAACTAAATTGCAATATTAGTTAATTATGAAGTTTCAAATTTCATGAATAAATAAATAAAATTAATGCAATGATTTAATCAAATTTTGAAATCTTTATGAATTTTATATTTTAAATTTGTAATATATAAAAACTCAGATATATATATCCAGCTAAAGCTTGGTTATTTTTTGCATCCTTTTGACTTTTTAGTTTTTATTCAATTGTTAATTTTGGTAATTAAAATTTTTTTTTATATTGTTCTCTCTTTTCAGCCTATGTATTAAACAACAAAACAAATATTTAATGATCATCATCAAAAAATTTGTGCTTCTAATTTTGATTATTAAGAATATTAGCTAATTGTGAATATGCATTTGGTTCCTAAAAAAACATTTGTAATTATAATTTTTACAATTAAAATAAAGAATATAACTTTCAAAAACTCCAAAAAATAAACTTTCTAAATATGAAAAAGAGAGAGTTTGTTTGCCTGATTGTTTAAAATGTTCCTTGAGCTTACTTCTTATTATATAGATAAGATAAGTCTTAAATTGTTTAATTGCTTCTAAAGAAAGCATATATAACCCATCATGTCAAATATTATATTTTTGAATAACTTTCTGGTGTTGATTTAAATCTCTTTTTGTTTTATACATTTTTCTACAAACTTCGTACATAAAACATTGTTACAAAGTAGAGCTCAAAGTAATGTTCATTTTTTATAAATTAAGTTGATATAAAAATAAAATTATTTTAATAATAAACTTATATACTATAAATAAAAACATTACTGTTACAGATACAAATGTGAATATTTTCTCTAATGGAACATTGTATCTTTCTTATAAGATTTTGTAACAATATAAGTTCCAGCACTATTAATTTTACCTTGTGTGTCAACACTAACTATAATAAAACAAAAATACCAATTTTATATCAAAGGTCAAAGGTGTTATCACCTGGTAATCAAATGCTAATAGATAAATAGCTGCTGTTAATAAAATTAAGCGATCCCTTGGTGAAATCCTAAATCTTATAATGAAAAATAAGACCCTTGTGAAATCCCAAATCTTTCTGATAAAAGATGAGACCCAACAAAATCCTCATGAAGAACAAAACCCTAGCAAAATCCTTACAACCAAAACCCTGGTGAAATCCTTATGAAGAACAAAACCCTGCCAAAATTCTAAATCTCCTGGTTAAAGGCAAAACCTGAGATCTAATGAAGTGAATAAATAATAAAAATATAAGTCAAATAATCAAAGAAATTTATTGAATACAATCATATAATATATTACAACCTCTTTAAATGTATTCTCATTCTGGCACAAATATATACTTCATCTCATAAATGCGTTTTTGTGGTCTCCATGAGATCATCTGTCAAAAGTTAAACCTACCTTATAACTCTTGATTTAACAAACTCTTTCAACAGCAACTCCGTGACAGCAACAATAAAGATTTGGTAAAGCCAGTACACACAATATGGTGACTTTTTCCTAACTGTCCAAGCCTTAAGTTATTTCAGTATTACTATTTAGTATGAATAAATAATATTTTGAAAATTAAATTTTACTTGAATCGTCGCTTGTCGTTCCTGGATCATTTTTGAATTGTCACTATAACAAAAAATCTAAATTAATAAAAAGTACAAAGTATTAAGCAAACTAATATTATAGTAGCTACAATAATTACTCTTATTTACACAATTACCAAAAGGTAACAATTGGTTTCGGGGCCGGACAATTGGTTTGACGCGTATTTTATATATATAATTTTCATTCGTATTAATTTTTATTTATTTTTTTGGGGGGTACAAAATGATTAGCTGATAGTTAGTTAAATATAAATTTAGGGCCTTAAAAAAGGTCTAATTCCATAAATCCGCCCATATGAATAAAAATAGCCGTGGGCGATATTGGTTTCTAATAAATGCTTAACATCTTATAAGTTATGTATTAATTTAATAAAAAATATAAAATAGGAATTTCCAAACATCAAAGAATTCCTGGTTTTCGCTTGACGACACCCATTCACAGGTTTTTACTCGACGTGCAGGCCGACCATATTGTTTCGGTCTCTTTATTCGAACGAGAGCAACCGTCGATGTTACACTAATGATTTTTCACCCGGTGTGCAACATATAAAAAATCATTTTACAATACCAGATCATTCCGCTAGTACATGTTATGATTATAATCCCACACCATTTTATTATAATAAAAATGGTGTGGGATTATAATCATAACATGTACTAGCGGAATGATCTGGTATTGTAAAATGATTTTTTTATATGTTGCACACCGGGTGAAATTTATTCGGCAGTTCGGCCAAAATACATATTTAAATTTGATTGGTGTATATTTAGTATATAATGGTAATAAATATGATTAACGTTAATTTGATCAACATTTTATTTTATTTTTTATTAATTGCGATGATATTAAATTTACGTAAATCCATAAATTCATCCCTTACTTCGATACAAAAAAATTTAAAACCAAGAATTATTCGAAGGTTTGGGTCATTACATGAGAATCTTACAAGTATTCGGGAAGAACTTCGAAAACTTGGGTAAATCATAAATTTACATATTATGATTTTTTTTTAAGCACCATCCTCTTAATAAAATTTTTCGTTGTTTGAGGGTTAATTAGCCATGGTTCGGTAACATTCGATCCAAAACATTCCCTGGGAATAGGATTATTAACATTGCAAAATCCAAAAAGACATAACGCGCTAAGTGGCAAAATGATGGCAGAATTATCAGATATTGTGGATGAGTTAGAAAACATTGTTCAGACTAATACAGACGCTAATTTAAATCATGAGAATAATGAGTGTGTGTTGAATAAAGGGGATAATTTAGTTGGAATTATCGTTACTGGAAGTAAAAATACGTTTTGCTCAGGATTAGGTTAGTTTTATTCTTGGGTTTAAAAATCAGTATCGAATTACCACTTATTTTTATATGAAAAGATTTAAGTGTAGCAAAAGACCATATCTTAACTCCAGAAAACGGAAAAAAAATGAGTTTATTAATGCAAGATACACTATTTAGATTTGGTCAATTACCCTTAATTTCAGTAGCGGCAGTTGAAGGGCATGCATTAGGTGGTGGTGCTGAATTGGTGACTGCCTGCGACCACAGATGTATTTCAGGTATTTCATTTATTCTTTTGTTGATTTAGGTGATGTCGACCCCTTATAAGATAATATTGCTTTATATTTTTATCATACAAAAATTAAACATTTTCATTTGACATTCATTTTCTTCATATTTAAAGAAACCTCAAAAATACGGTTTGTTCAAGTCAAAATGTGTGTGATCCCCGGATGGGGTGGTGGAAAACGATTAATTGATATCATAGGAGAAATCAATGCATTAAAAATAATGGGAACTAGTGAACCAATAACCGCAAAGAATGGACTAGAATTAGGATTTGTTGACGTTATTGCTCCACATGGTGAGTGCGTTAATAGAGCACGTGAATTTTTAGATCGCTATGTTTACTTTTCAGAAAGAAATGAAGTTGGAAATAGAAATGGTATAAATGAGGATAGAATAAATTCTGTTAAAGCGGTATTTATTTGTTCGTTTTTATTAAGTTTTATGGGATATTATGTGTGCATATTATCGATATATATGCGTGTATTTATTTGTGATTTTCTAGGTAAGAGGATTAAAGTCATTAATTTCACGGACGAAAAACAACGAAGAGTATAAAAATTTTTTGCGTTATGAACATGAACTATTCTGTTCGCTTTGGGGACGACAAGAGAACGTAGATGCAGTTCTTAAACCTTCAAAAAGTAATAAATAATAGATTCAGTTTGGAAATATCAAAAAATCATAATGATTTAAGCGATTTAAATGACTCAAATGATCCAATTTATATTTGCTGGAGAAATTGGTAAAACTCTTGATGAATAGTGGCGAATGATTGAAATTAATATAACTGCCAATCAAATTTTAGATAATAACCAGTTTCACCAGCAGCCCTAATCCAAATGATAAATAACTAGTCATTTGATCATTCGAGCAAAATGACTAAGGTCATTTAAGATAGAGTCTTTTCTTTGAAAACCACGTTATGAGATATATAATTTACTATATACCATAACATAATTTTCAAGGCAAAGATCGGCCTAAACTTTTCTTCAAAGTCCGCTTTTGAGTTTCAAAAATCAGGATTCTCCGAAATTGGGTGAAGTCGTTCACGTATCAATTTTCCTGATGAATTTTATTAGTGAATTTGTCAAACTGTGATATCAGTTAATGATTAGATGGCTTGTCGGGAATTGAGCGGCATTAGATGAAATATGAAGATGACGAAACCGGGTGAACCAAACTAATTAGAGTATCCGCGCTCTTATAGCTAATTTCAAAATATAAGGACCACCTCGAAAATTTTTCTGGAACGTTGTCGGGATTCATATAACTGATAGTGGATTATATTCAAATATTACAAAGCATAGTATTGTATTAAGATATAGTATGTTTTAATAAATGCAAACATCATAAATGAATACTTTTATTAATATATTTTAACTTCATATGAATAATAATACTTATATATGAATCCCGACAACATCCTGTAAACAATAATCACTAAACGACGTTTAAACATTCTAAAAATTTTTGGATCATTTTATTATACTGATCAAATGATATTACACTTATATAGTGCACGCTTATTGGAGAGTTGACTGTATTACAATTATTCTTATCTTGGTTGTCGGATAATCAGGTGTATAGCTTTTTTTTTTATCAGTGCAATCACAATTTGTAATAATAAACTATAAACAAGATGAAGATGAAAAATCGAACAATTGAGAAGACCCAATGTTCATCCCTGACGTTATAATGTTTCTCAGTGAAGAGGTCGAAGGATATTTCACTGAGGAAGTGTTGAATGAAGAAGAGAAATTTCTCTGTGGAGAGTCATCGAAGGTCCCGCTGTTTACTTAACTGATGTCAAGAAAATGCCAACTATTCTGTGCGAATCTGTTGAATAAGATTTTTATGAGGATGATCGTCATAAGTTAAAGATTATTATTGATGGGAAAGAGCATACGAAAAAAAAAGTTAGTGACCATTCTTCTGATACGTTGTTAAATACTCAAGGACGCAGTTTTCACCACGGGCAGATCACGTAACCAGAAACCCACACATATTTATGTCAACTGTTAAAAAAATCCTACGTACTTTTAATTAACAACTTTAATTATGTGCGCTTGCCTAACTTACCAATAATATATTTCTGTAGTTTCTTGAACACCTATAACAATTCATAAAAGCACCTCTCGCGTACCTCACCGAGATTTCCACGTGAAAAAAAAACAATAAAACATTAACTTATCGTTTAAATAAATAACATACGACGAAAAAAGAGTAAAAAATTCACTTGGAGATTAATATTCCATGCGAGTTCCGAAATTTATCCGATATCGATATTCAAAGCAAACTGCGACAATTTTAAAAGTATTATGCTAAGTTAGAGATATAATAAAACCTTGTATAATATATAATATATATAAATTATATTACAATTTTAGCTAAAAGATCTCTTTTTTATAAAAAAATTATATTTGGGAAGTAGTTATTGGCTAAAATGTTACAATGGCGGCCACATGTTTTGCATCACCCTAATTGCCTAACTTTGTAATAATTTCGCTAATAAGTTATAAATTTTTGATTATTAGGTTCATTATGTCTCTGGTAATATAGAAATTTCATTTATTTGTTTATTTAGTAATTAAAAACTCAAAAAATAAAAATTGATTCAATTTTTGGCGATGCATTTTTTTTGATTGTTTATTAAAAATTTAAACTTTGTCACATTACAAATAAAAAAAATAAAGAATTATTTTTTTTTAAAAAAAAACAATAGTTTACTATTTGGTATAAATCTCTCTTGCTTTGTAAACATTCATTATATGTTGTGGTATGCTTTCAATAAGCCTGTCAAGATACTCCATATCCATTTCTATTCAGACCTTCTGAATTGCCTCCCAAAGCTCATTAGTGATTTCTATAAATGATCATCTTATTTATCAATCAATTTCATTTCACAAATGTTCTATAGGATTTAAGTTTGGCAAATAAGGTGGTTAGTCAAGTATTTCAATGTTATTATAATAGAACCATAGCTTAGTATCAGTAACAGTATTTTTTTTTTTTTTTATATTAAAGTCTCTTATCTTTAGGTTGTGATTGTTTTATTCAAGTTATAGGACACAAGTGTCATTAGGGTTCTCTTATATAGGAGGTTACAACTAGTCACACATGCATTTTTGGTGCCTAATTTAAGTAATTTGTTTACATATTGTTATATAAGTTCTATACTAGATATCATACCTGCAAGTCAGTTAAAGGTCTTGCCTATTTAAACTCTCTGCATATGCAATTCATCTTGTATTATAAGAACATCTCAAGGTTACATCTATTCAAGTTTTTGATACTCATCGATACCTTATGATTACTTTATTCTTGACAGGAAACTTACTAGAACCTTTATATCTCACACATATTGATCTAGTTTTATGCAACATATTATAATTACCTAACACTTATAATCACAGGAATTACCTATTTAGCTGCTATATTATACTATTTTTATACTTATAAAATTTATCCAAACTTCAATACCTACCTTTCTAATTTCTTTTCTTCATTTTTCTATTATCCAACTTAGAATCTGATAGACTTTTTAAATTTTCAATTCAGATGACCCAGTACAATATATCTTTGGTATTTTTTTCTTCTAGCAGTTTTAGCAGTCTGGTTAATTATATGCTTCTTTATACATCTTGTTATTTAGTTATATGTCTGCCTATTTCTTACTAAAGTTTCATAAACTTCTATTAGTCTGATAATATTATTAAAGATTTGTATTACTTCTTTATTTGAGAATTTCTAAATAGAATTTTGTCTTTTCAGTTTCTTAGTCTTCTGTACCTAATGATCTTATTATGTATTTGTACTAAAGTCTTATGTAATACTGATTATTAATATTTCTCTATGTATGTATAACATTATACTTCACATAGATGTCCTAAGCTACTATATAACAAATAAGATCTGACTTAGTACACCTAAGATTACAAATTATGATTAAATTCAACTAATTAACAGAAGACAGTTTGTTATATTACAGATTAATTTTCAAATTTCATTATAAGTAGGATTTGAAACTTAGATCTGTTATTTAAAGAATAACAATCTAATCATTACACTAAGATTATCATCTTCTAATAACTGAATTATTGTTCTACTAAAAAATAATATCATTTTTGTTTATTTTATATCATCAGATTATTTTTAGAAGGTCTTTAGTTAATATTTGATAGTACAGATTATTGTTTATAGTTCTATAAATTTATATAATATTACTAATCCTAAAAGAAAAAAAGTATCCTTATATCATAATACTACCCTTTTATATTTCTTTGTAGAAATTACATTTTACTTATTTTTTTTCTTTTTATATATTAAGATAAGTACTTGTGACCCAGAATTTTATTGATAGTATATTTGGCTAATGAATGTTTTACAATCATAAGAGGCAATTATAGAAAGAGTATACAACTAGCCACTTGTACAACTTTAGTCATTGTCTAATTTAAGTAGTCCACTTGAAGATTCTACACTAGTTACCATACCTAAAACCTACCTGTAGGTTCTCTATTTAACTACTCTAGTTTCTGTATTCACTCACCTATCTCTGTTTACTAATGACCTCAACTGATACCAGTGAAAATATGCCATGGCTACTAAGTCTTTAAAGCAGTTCATTTACATGAAGAATCTTTGACCTTGTACTAAATCTTTCAGAATCTTCTGTATCTTATTCTTACAGCTGATCTGGTATTAGAGTTGGTACTCAAAATAAACCTACCTGAAACTAGTTTCAGAAGACTCTAATCCAAAACTCTGAAACCTGAAATTCTGAAACTATAATCCAAAACCCTGAAACTATAATCTAAATTTTTTAAAAAAAATACAAACAAAAAAATTTAGACTAACAAAGTAATAATAAAAAATTAATCATTCTATTTATTTCAAATAGCTCAATAAATAGAATATTTTAGTATAGCTGGAAAGTATTATAATTATGGTTTTTATAATCCTCCAATTTGTGCAATAGCACAAAGTTTTTATTAATACTACCAAGCCATTGATTACAATTGTTTTCTTCAATAATTTTTTGTTACTACATCCTGGCTTCAAATAAATGATCAGAATTATAATCTACTAGAAGTATATTAAAAATTAAATCTACAATATTTTCTGGTTTATTTATATTTTCTTAATTAGTTTTTATAATTCATTTTAAATTTTATTCTTTTTACATTTATTGTTAATAGGAATTTGGTTATGGCAATTAACATATACTTTTAGAATAGTGTGTTCATTGGATTTTATGCTTTTAATTATTGTTTTTTACTTTAAATAATCAAAGAAAAAAAAACACTTACTAAATTAATTAGTTAATATTTTGATAAATATTATTATTATGATCTAATCATGAACTAAAAATATCATAAACTTTTTTGAGTGGTGATTTTACTTTAGTCTACATTGATCATACTAAAATCAATAATTCATTCAGTTAATTTTTCATAAGGTGTTCCAGAAAATGATAACAGCTATAAATCTGAATCTAATAATTAAATTCAGATATAAATTATTAAATTCAAATTAAAGTTATTATAGCATTTATAATTTAAAAGTCAGATTAGTTAATCCACTTTATATATTATTGTAAAGATACAATCTATAACTATTTTGTATTATAAAAACTGGTTTAATCCAGGTTTGTATATATAAAAAATAGTTTAGATTATATCTCTAATTTATTGTTATTGATTTTATAAAAATTTATTATACCAATAGAGTTTCAGAATTTTGGATAAGGTTTTAGGTTTTGGATAAGGTTTTGGAATTTCAGATAAGATTTCGAAAACTATAATCTGAAACCCAAAACTTTCAGATTTGGCCCAAAAGGTTTTAGTAACCAACTCTATCTGGTATCACTATGGCTGAGACCAATACTGCCAGTCAGGATATAACATTAAACTGCTATGCCCTTATAGAATTCACTCTAACCCTAGTACTACTTCACAACATATTCCTACTATTTTGGTATTTAATTCAAGTTTCACCAAGCTCTCAAACCAAATAGCCTAGAAAGACAGATTGTAACTATACATCTCTGGTTTACATGTTTGCTAACATATAAGTTTTTCTTTTAGAATAGATCCTGGCAGCCTGGTTGGTTCTATTTGGCCCTTCTCAAAGGCTGGCTCTGTGCCTAGTTTCACAAGTTCTAGATCCATTTCATAGGTTTAGTCTTTACAATAGCACTGTTAAAAGTTCAGGTTACCTTTTTACTTAGATCTTCTAAGTAGGCTTTCATCTTACTTTATTTGGTTCCTATAATTTACATGACCACAAGGACTTATTATAGGTTTGTAATGCCTGGTATCAGTTTGCATTCCTTTGTGTAACTACAGACCTTGTTCCAAAAGACAATGTCATGTAACTAGTATACAAATGCTATGTGACCTGCCAGTCATACTAGTGTGATATAGGTAACAAGTGTTTTATCTCAACCAATTGTGAGAAACAGTTAACCATAACACAGAGAGGATTTTTAAATTTTTTGTTAACATTGAAATTTGAACTCTGAACCTGCCACTTGGAAGTTGACAACCTGACCATTTCACTAGGTTGCCACACCTCTTTATATTTCACTTATTAAATAGCTTATTGGTTATTTTTAATAATATTAACATTTGTTTGAACTAAATATTTTAAATTTTGATTCATTCAAGAAAATTATCTAGTATCAGTTCTTAATACTCCATGCCAAATATTTCTAACAAATTTATAATATTTTTTATAAATACTTTTGCTCAAAATTGGCTTCTTATATTTAATATAAAAAGAAAGTTCATTTTTTTATAATATATACTTTACAATGTTTTTGTTTATTTCAAGATTTTCATGTATTTTTAAATGTTTTTGGATTTCTATAGCATTTGAATATTTACTACTTGTAAGTAAATATATAACATTTTGTTTATCATAATTAATAAATATTCCCAAGACCCCAACTTTGGACAAATCCTTTACAGAACTAGTTTTTGTACCT